GCATCACTGCTTTTATCAGTACCGTGCAATGGATTTACACTGCACAGAATAGACTTGAAGGCATTTGGGCTATCCAAGTATTGTTGAACTGAGCATTATTACTAAAGGTAAACTGAAATAAATTACTTCAGTTACTACACGATGATTTTTTTCAGCATGGTAAATAAAACTTATTTGTTCTAGGTCATTAAATTCAATATTAGACTTTAAAAGAGCCTAGAGATTCTATGAAGTTATTAGTAAAACATGCAACAAAACATATGGGCTTCAGTATAAAAGATAAAAGAATTCCTCTATTATATTTAAATATTGGTTATTAGTGCATTTTTCAGAAGGACTGTTGCAATAAAAGCCTAGCTGCCATTCTCAGATGCGAGCTAGGCATGCAGTGGTCCTGGCTCTGCGAGTGGCAGGTTTCCAAGTAACTGAGCCATTTATGAAAACACCATTTAGAGGCTTTTGGTACTTTACCCACTATTTCTCTTTAGACAAGAATAAATACAATTTTGCCAGAGTTACAGGTGAAGCAAGTAGACAGGGACCTCGGAAAGCAGGGCTTGATTTTCAGATTTTTTTTAAGTCAACTTCCTATGGCCCCCAACGCGTTCTTTGGTGTCCTCTGCCTCAGTGCCCCTCACTGCTTGAATATATTGTGCTCTTATTTCAACCTTTGTTCTTCTCATTTGGCTACAACCTGTCTGCAAGGACTGCCGCGCCGTGTCTGGTCAGTGTCTAGCACAAAGAAGACGCACTCCTAGTTGGAGCCTCCAGTCACTAACACACAGCCCAAAATCCTGGCAACAGCCACTGCTACATATGCGCTGCCTTGCAAGATGCCAACAGCAAGGCTGGAAAACTGTCCTCCATGAAGTAAGTAATGACAGCACATTGCATCCAATCAATCACAACAACCACGGGCAGTATATTATAGGCTGCTATTATGTTTTGCTAACTACAACAGCAGCCAAGTACTTTCAATGTGGGTAAAACGTATTAGCCAAAGACAGAATATATGTGTAAGTCTCCGCAAGTGGTGTATATGATTCAGTCTCTGTGGCTTACTTTGATGCTGAGCATGATGCTGCCTCCATGTGAAAAAGCAGGAGTGCTCCCGAGACACGAAGGGGCAGGGAACCAAGCACAGGGGGTCAGGTTCACAGCAGACAGGAATCACTGCAACTCCATAGGGCCCCAAAGATAGCACTCATAATCCCACCGGCTTCCCCAGCCAGGTGCAGGTAATGACTACAAATTATTGTTTTCAGGACAAATCATTCGACTGAGCTGCTCTTCAGCTGGAAATGCCGGCACCCTTCTTTATCCTGGCTTCTGTTCACCATTACAGAGTCATTGCAGCATCCCATTGAGCTTTTCAGAAACCCAAGATAAAATCCTGTGTGAGAGGAACTACAGGAAAAGCCTAGTAATTGTGAAGCCTAATTATAAAGTAATGTGGAGCTCGAGAGAAGAACTGCTAAGCAGTTAGAGACTCATCTAATGAGCGGGCCATCTGTCACTCACGAGAGGGCTAACGAAAGGCCAGCACAGGACGCTCCTGATGGTGTAGGGAGGAGGATATGTAAATGAGGAAGTGTCCAAATACGACATTTAAGGTACACAGTACGAAACAAGCTGCTAATTTGAGCTCGCATGCATGCTTAGCATATGGACAGCATAATTATAGTTGTACAGTAAAGGGAAGTTGGCAATAGAGGATGGTAACAGGATGGTGCGGGGTGCGACAGACCGAGCGGTGAGCAGCAGAGCGCAGGAGGAAGTGTGGGATGGATGGGGCTGGAACAGAGATGCAGCTCAGCTTTTGTGTGCTTGGATCGCAGGGCAAGGGGATGCCATTTGATCACCGGCACAATCTCAAACTTCCTGTACTGCACGGCTTTATACATGCTACAGTATACAATATACACTAGACTATACTGCTACTTACTATACTGTCCTGAAGAGTGAAACCTTCACAATAAATCCAGAATTTCCTTACACTACAGGGCAAATGTAAGTGATAACAGTCCCTGAGAGTGGAACTAGAAATAAACTCGGGAGCAGTCAATTCTGGTCTATGAACGTGTTGCTCCCCTTCAGAGCCAACAAAAGTGGTCAGGGCAGTAGAAGACAGCAGCTAATTAGACAAACATTCTTCGCTCTCCCTAAATCACTGGAAAAAAATGCAAACTGGAATTTGAAATTACAGTGGCATCACAGAAATTGTAAGAGTTTCACAGTTCCATCTTTGGCACATCTCTTATTTTGTGCAAGTAAAAGCCTGTAATCTTTGTACTGAAAATGTAGTTACGAGTTATGTCAGCTTTGAAACTGCTTCTTCTCTTCCCCCCCCCCCCTCCCCTCCCCCCCCAGCGCCTCTGAAAGCAATGGAATGACAGAGATATTGATCAGAAATGCATTATTTTTCCACTTGCCTACTGCAAATCAAGAAAATGTTTAAACATCAGCTCTTCCCATCTGTTTCAGTGAGATTTCAGCATATTTTTAAGTGCAAACATGAATAGAAATTTTTTTTTTTTTTTAATTTTAACACTTGCTCTAAGACTCATTCAAGTCAAAGGAAAGATCTTGCTCCTTCAGAGGGTTTGAGTCAGTCTCTCACTTACTGGGAAGAAAAAAGATATTTTACACACTGAACTATTTTGGAAGCAAATCACTCAGATGATTCAAATACTCCTAAACAAGTAACATGATTTATTTTTGGTGAGGCTATCAAACTCCCATCTTGTTCAACAATGAAGAGGGAAAGGAAGGAAACAGAGCGCTGAAGAGCTAAGCGGACTGAATTTTTCAAATGTCTGAATGTCTGTGATATTTTCTTCTATAAGTAATAGGAGAGGAATGGGAAGAAGGACAGACAACAGCCATCTATATTTTAACAATTGTGCAGATTCCCCACAAAATGTCAACTCATTTTGTGAGTTGACATGCAATTTTAAACATGCAATTGTTTTAAATATGTGATTTTTCTGCTAAGCTATTCCAGAACTCTTGTTGTGTTAAGTTTTATTAGTTTGACTTGGATATTTTCAGAGTCTTTCATTTGCATTTTAAAAACTGAGAATGAGAGACCCATAGCAATGTGTGCTTGGGAATCAGGCTACTGGTCTTTCACCTTGCTTTTCAGGGACCTTCATCAAGATTTCACCACTTAGCCAGCTAGAGAAAGCTGTAAAAAGCAACTGTAATGCAGAAAAGTAATTAATGTTGTAAAATGGCTTTGCGTCCTTGGATGAATGACATTGCAGATTAGCATCTTGCCCTTAAATGCAAAGTCACCCTTGGGTAAATCCACAGAATATCTATTGGCTTCGTAAAATTGGTCTATCATTATCAGTGGTATTAGTAGCACAGCAACAGAACAAGTCCTTCCAAAATATCTACACATGTTTGCACAATACTATTCTATGCTTTGTACTAACATAAATAATATTTTAGTAATTTCAGATCAGGCGAGACTGATGTTAATATGCGCTTGAGTCAGTGAGAGTACATGAGAGGATGAAGATGGATTTTAAAATTTTCAAGATTGGAGACTTAATAAAAATTTATATGTCACCAGCACGTGATCATAGTTGGAAAAGCATGGGAAATGCTGTTTTTTTCTCAGAAGACTGCAGTTTTGTGGAAAATATTGCCTTACATCCTTGTAAAGCAATAGTCATCAGGGGCGGGATGTTATACATAGCTCCATGGAAAGACTTCATTCTCAGTCCCAGCAAAAGTTTATTTAATTCTTTATCATTCCCTCATATTCTAGCAAAGTAAAGAAAATAGCAGTAAAGGTCACAATAAAACATCTCTTCCATCATTAGGGCCATTAGGGGTATCAGTGCTAAAAAAGGATGCCAGACAAATAGTTCTGAATTTCAATGCAGCTCATATTTCCACTATCCTTTTTCCAAGAGAGCAGTTATGGGGAGCACCACTGCCCCAGAGTATGTAACCCAAAAAAGAGCTCCTGCCCATCAGCAGGTGTGTTTGTGAAGGTGCAGATCGTTGGCAGCTGCTTTCCCCTGTAGCTGAATTGGTGGGAGAAGTCAGAGACAGCTGTGCTAATTCAGCACTACCCTTTAACACTCTCTCTTTTCATTACAGGTATTAAAATTGTTCCCAATGGGCACAATAGACAAGGAAAGCCAAACACAAGGAAGGATTCGATCCACTTCCCCATTAAATTCGAAAGAAAAACTAGTAACTTCAGTGATAATAGGAGCTGGACTGGAACCTACATGAACAGCACACCACAAATCATTTTATTCTCGCCAAAGCTTGTTCTGACTGCAGCAATTTCCAGTGAGAGCTCAAATCTACATCCCCCAAAACAGCTCTACTCCAGCAAATACTATGTGCATTAATTCAAGTATTATTTGGTTTTCCCTTGGCTAGAAAACATAAGGCAGCAGAGGATGAAAAGAGCACACGGCTTGTGTGCAAGCACTAGCCCAGCTGCTGCTGGACAACTGTTTGCCTATTGCTTAGCAATGCTTCACCTCTCTGCCAGAAAAAAATGCTTCAATGAGGGATGATAAACCTGAAGTTTTGTTTATTGTAAAATCATGACTGTGATAGTGCTTCAACCACTTCTTCCAACCACGTGTTACAACACTTACTGAACACTAGAAGCTCTTTGGGACAAAGGCTTCTGATTTCAGTGCTTAGCTGAGAGCACACTGGAGAGACTTAAATAAAAAATTAGACTAACAGACCAGTGGTATTTGCATATTTATCAGGAGGAAAGCTGCAATAGGAAATTGAGGATTGAATTTTGGGCATGGTTCTGGGCAATCAGCTCTGGCTGGTCTTGCTTGAGCAGGGAGTTGAACTAGATGATCTCCTGAGGTCCCTTCCAACCTCAATCACGCCTTGATTCTGTAATTTCAGAAGCAAAATAAAGAACAGGAGGAATAAAGAAGGAAATAAAAAAAAAGACACCCGGAGAATGAGGAAGCAAAGCTGTGACACATTCAAGCCTCACTCACCAGTTATCCATCTAGCCTCTGGGTCGTGAATTTTGAAATCATCGCTGAAGAGATCTTCCACTGTTATCTTCTTCTTCTGAGACAAGCTGTTATCTTCAACTGTAAAACATTTGAAAACAAACTGCTATTACTTCAACTTTGAAATGCATCTGAAAGTACAGCAACCATGAATAGTGCCATGTCATATCTCATTCGGAAATGGTCCACATTAAGCTTTCTCTCATATGTAGCCCCTTCTCATCACCAGTGTTATAAAAGGACCACGTAATGGTTCACAAACAGAAACCTCCTGGTTATTTATGCCTGGACTCATCAACTACAAAAAGACCAAGATATGGTCCAAAATATATATTTTTGGACTTAACCTGATCAAAAAAGATTTTAAAAGTCATGAAACCATACCTATAAATGTCACAGGGCTATATAATGTTGACTATTCCAAAGAAACTTAAAACTACATAACACTAAGACTATTCTGAAATAATTAATTAATTTTTAAAAAAAATAATTAAAAGTGACCATGTTTTTATAGCTTATATTTTTATTTCCTTAAAAACTGCCATGCAGAACCACAGTTGGAAAGGTATTTAGCCTTATGAGGGCTCATACAGATTACTTCAGGAATTCACAAAAGATTTTCCATGGGAAAAGAGTGGTCTGCAACCACTCTGTTGCAGAAATATTTTTTAAAAATCTATGAGACATAACCCTAAATCCTTAGGTGTTGCATAACTGGCCCATACTAATTTTCATTTTTAGTGAAAGGATATACAGTTTCATTTGCAAACCTGGAAATCTGGATAGTTTTTACATTGAAGAACCAGACTGTCAGATTAAGATGCTGTAAGATCAACTTGTAATAAACAGCGTCCTTCATTTAGTTCATTCTTTCTAACTCTTCTCTTGCACTCTGCTTTCCTCACAAAGAAATACTTGCTGTATGTCTTCCTCCACTGCCCTTCATACAGTCAAAAGATTTCTGGCACAAAGCATAATCTGAAGAAAACACAGAACTGATTTCTGTCTGCGTACATATTATTGTTAAAAGGAAATCTGTCTCACCTAGATGCCACCAAGACTAAACACACATTAAACTAAATTAAAACAAGGCACAAATGTAACTACCTGAAGTCTGCTGCAACTAGCATCTTCTCCTGTACCAAAATTATACCTTCTCATTTCTGTCATCACCTCTCCGCTATGTAGCAACTCTCATAAACACAACACAGAGGCTCCTGGGTCTGTAACTGGAGTGTTTATGTTGAATCAAACGATTCTTGGGCCTTACAGATGAGGATTATATATACTACATCACAGAATCCTATACTGACTGCTTAGTTAATATGAAAATGGATTTTTATTTTCTCAAAGCTGAAATTTTTCGAAACTAACAATTTTGATTAACATATTCTTTCTTTTCTTTTTTCTCCTAACAGTAATTTTTTTTTTGTTATGACAAGCAGTCATCTTCTATGAATAATTTGTTTCCAACATTCAATTTTTTGCTGAAAAAATATTTTCACGGAAATCTTTCAGTCAGTTTAAACACATTTGCTCTTTAAAGAAACACGTGAGGCTGCTTGCTGAGTGTTTCCATGGCAGGTATGTGTGCTTCAGCATCTCTCCTCCCTACAGCAACCTCGTGCCTGAGGCCTATTGGTGTCCTGCAGCCTTAGCTATCTTTAACATTTTTTAGTACTAAACTTGTTACACTGAACACATCAGTGATTACAAACAGTGGAAACAGACTCTCTGAAGCCACTTATTTGAGGAAAAAGTCTTCTTCACTACACTAAATTGAAGCCCCTGATACACCTGAGACCACCAAAAATTATCTAGGAACCATGTTTTGTTCCACTAAAAGATGTTTCAACATAAACTACTATTTTTACCAAATTAGATGATATTCTATTCTTCAATTTCATTTTTTTCCCAACTCTGATTCAAGTCTCTGTCATACTACTCAATGCGGCTTCCAAATACCAAGACACATTAACGCAACTCCTCAGCCAAATCCCTCTGTGTGACAGCATTAGGCAAAGTTCTGCATAACTTTATTTAATAAAACAGAAAATACAGGTCAGAGAAAGAATTCCAATGAGTTCCCACCGTGGTGGAAGGTCCCAGCACTGGATACCTGGGGAGATCAGGCAGTGCAGAGCAGGAGGTTGGAGCCCCATACAGCCCTGGGCTTACAGCAGTTTCAGGTGCCGCTTCCCAAATGCCACCTTGAGGAACACAGACTTCTTCCCCACCATGAGGGCATAAGGACAGGCACAAGCAAACGTCTGTGCTGGAGATTTGGGAAGGGGTCAAGTGGGAAGCCTTTCTCATTCCCTCTTTCTGTGCAGGATGGAGACTGCACCACCTCTACGCCTTCACAGCACTTCAAACTCCTCGTAAGGGACAGCAGGAGGAGGAAGAGGTAGTAACGGAAGCATCACACCCAGGAGCCTCTCTAAGGCACATTGTTGAGGTTCCCTTACTGGATCCTGCAGTGGGCTGTAATAGCTGCAATAGGTCCTATAATGAACCATGGACAATGTTAATCTCAACCACAGAGCTGGGGAGAAAACAAAGAACTAAATAATCAATGAATCAATGATTTTTTAGTAAGAAATTCAGATTTACTGACCTCTCATCTAACACACAGATAAGTCAGAGTGTTCACTAAGAATGCCTATTCCATTCCTCTGGGCCATCGGAGACATTTACAGAGGAAGAAATGCAATTGGGGGATCTCAGGTAAACCACCCTCTCTTGAGCAGCAGTCTCTGAGCATGCCTTGGAGTGTCTAAGCTGGCTGGCAGACACAAGTTGTGCCCACCCCCAACTGCGGAGACCTTGGAGCCTCCTTGGGTTTATGAAAGGAGAGGACCAAGCATGTGTCACCACCTTTTTTTTGCATTCATGTCTCCCCCCCTTCCAGCAGATCCAGACAGCCTGACAGTGCAGCAGCATGGCAGTGATACATGTGGCACAAGGACGTGTGATTTGAGTGCCAAGTCAGAAACCCACCATCCAAACAGCGAAGTTACATGCTGAGAGAATCAAGTAAAATCCATGCCAGTTTTGTTTTTGTTTCAATGTTAAAGGCATGATAGGAACCCTGCGCTGGTCAGAACTTTTGGGTTCATCTGTCTGCACCTCATCCTTGAAGTCAGCACTGAACTGATAAAACCTTGCTCTCCAGAACACAAACAGAACTTATATCCTCCAAAACCCCAGAAAACTCAAAACAGAAGGGAAAAGGGCTATGACCTGGCCTCCCTGTGTGTTTTGCCTCTGCAGTACAAATCCTTTCTTTCAAGTTTTCTCTGAACTCCAGCAATGCTCAGAGGCTGCTTGATGGGTCAGAAGGTTTCAGTCATCTTTGGGTGCCCACATTTCTTTCCCTCATTCCTAGGCCTCAGGTACAGGCCAGTGTCAGCTGCTTTTCTCACACCCTTCCTGGGCTATTGTGCACATGGGTGAATGGGTGTCCATGCATGTCCACCTCTTGGCAGACCTGTCCCAGCATGTCAGGAGCTCCCTTCCCACCTCCACGTACTTGCTCGATCCCTGGGCAAACCTGAGTATGTCTTCATCCAGGCAACCTCCCTGTACTCAAAAGGCAGCGGCCAGACAAGGCAAAGAGGCAATCTATCTCCCTTCTATAAATCCCACCTTACTTTAATGGCATATAATGTACATTTATACATAATAATTGTGAATAAACAAATTACACTCCTGCACAGCTGGTCAAAGGATATTTCCTTGTGCTTCCCAACCAGCAAAAGTCATACCAAGCTTAACAGGTGATGCATTTGGCTCTCTTGTATGACTACCTCAGTATCATCTCTGAAAAATATTTCCTATGAATTTTGTAAAAATTTTAATATGGAGTTGGGTGTACTTTCTGTTTTTCAGCTAAAGGTCAGATTTGAAGTGAGCAAACTTGATGTATATCTCTGGAATGCTTTAAATATCGGGAACAGATATGCCAAAAGTCCTGATTTGCTTCCATTTCAAAACACAGGGCTCTGGAAAGCAATCTTTTCCTAAGGAAAATATTTAATGGAATTTGGGGAAGGTTTTTTAATCAAAATTTCTGTAGGATCACCTTCTCTCTTCAGCTTTGACGTGTGTGTGTGTGTGCCCACATGCGTATCTGTAAACTTGTGCATATCTTTTTATAAACACACAAATAACTCTGCTAGGACAGCACGCATACAGGTGCCATATGCTGCGACAAGTGATCAACCGCCAGTTAGGAAAGGCTCAGTCCCACACTTCTATAATTTGTACAAATAGCTTCACATTTTTCAAAGGTGGGTGGAATGGCAGGACACACACACATGAAATCCGAGTCCCTCAGTGTAGGCAATTGTGTGCATGTGGTGTACTATAGGGTAATGAAATGCAGGCTTTCACCAGCTACTGCTTCTTTTGAGAATGTTGTTCTAGAATACCAAAAGATACACAAATCATAGAAACGTTGAAATTTTATTAGGATTTTATAAAATAAGACCTAAGCGTTAGCTAGCAATAAAGCACCGCTATTGTAATTACAATGTCTGGTGAATGCAAAGAGCACTGTTCCCAGTTTATGAGCTAATCTTAAAGCAGGGTGAGTGACCTGCCTCTGAGAAACCCAGACCAGTAAGGATTTCAGCCTTTCTGATGCTGAATCCAGAGTTAAAACCTTCTTCAAAGGCTTGGGCTGATTTGCAAACGAATCTTGAAGAGATATATAAACCCTCTTTTTCCTCCATTATTAAATACCTTAATCATTTTCTGTTCTGCTAAGCAAACCTTCCCCACTCCCCATGCTACCACACATTCTTGGTTTTGCAGGAAACTACCCCAGCTTTCACAGTATTGGGAAAGGCCACCCTCATGACGCAAGTTATGTGTCCAGTTAACCACTTTTCTTTGTCTGAACACAGACTACAGGCCTGCTTACTGCACTCTGTCCCATATATGTCCCAAATTACTCTCTAGAGTCATTGCATGATGTTCAGCACTGGGTTTAGAGCATCTCTGCATTGCATGCCTTGGTATTGCGCTGCAAAACAGGCCTTCAAACCAACAGCAAAATACTGAGAGAAGAATGGTTTCCCAGCCAGGGAGAGGGCCAAGATAGACAGGAACAAGTAAGGAATCCAGAGGTGAAATGCAGAAGATTATTTATACTAGTATGACAGCATCAGGTTGGACTCCAACATTATCATCAGAAGGAAGACTTTAAATCATCTGAAGTATTCTCAAGCATTGTGCTCTCCCCATGCCAGACTGCATCACCCTACTTGAGACATTTCCAGTGAAGAGGGCGGTTTTGCTCAGGTCATTTTTTCTAATGTCACTTTCAGACTTGGCAGCAGCTCCTCATCCACAAAACTGCTTCTCCTCCTTCCTTTGCTGTCCTCCTGTCCCTTTCTCACCTCTTATTCAAATACCCATCACTCATTTTTCAGTTTGGCTACCAAAGGATAAACATTTCTTCTTCCTGTTAACTGTTTTATCGCAGGGAAATTCAGACTCTACTGCTCCTTTTGGACAGGCACCTCTACCTTCCCCACTCCTACTTCACTGGGACATGCTGTCCTCAGTCAGGATTAGCAATGCAATACTTTCTACGTTTGTCAAACTAGCCTCAATGTTTCACTTAGCACTGGCTGGTGGGAAATGCCTGTGAAACGAGCCTCCTGTTACCCTCTGCCATAGTGCATTCTCATAACAAGCTCCAGGGCCAGTGGCCCAAAAGAAGACTGAACTCAGTCGCTGCCAAGCCACAGCAGCAGCCTAAGCTATCCATTTCACCCTTGGCAGAGTCTCACCATGAAGCAGTCTGGATCCGTAATAAAAACAGCAACTGTAGTGAGCTCAGAGTTTTTGTATTTGCATGTAGGACACAGTTCTGAAACACCAGCAGGAAAAAAAACAACCGAAACCCAGCTTAACAGCAAATCCGGTAATTAGAAATCTCAAAAATCACAAATTAATATTTTAGTATATTCCTAAATTTTAAGCACAGAGACTCTCTCAAAGGTGCTATTTGGAGTTGTTGCTAAGTACATACTAACAACTGTATGATTTATGTGTATACATGTGTGTGCTTGTATATCCCAAACTGAGAACATCTTTGTGTACGTATATACAAATATAAACACAAAAATACCCTTGTAAATTTTATTTATAACTGAATGTGGGTATTTCACATTCCCACTATGTCAAACAGAAGGTCATCATAATAACCCATATTTACTTGTGTCTTCCTAAATTAGAGAACTTTAACCACAGGGTCTCAATGCTTGGTACAGCTTTCCTGTCTAGGTCCTTACCTGGACAACAACACTGCAGTGTCTGTATTTGTAACAGTCACTAGTGGATTTTATGTGTGATTTTGTCTATGGAGAAGTGGGAGTAGGGTTCAGTAGAAGTCCTAAATGAGGTCTGTAGTGGAGCCCAGAACTGAAACCAGAGCTGCTAAATCCTCATCAAATCTCATTCTGAACATCCTTATAAAGAAATCGTTATTACAGGTGGTTTTGTAAAAGGAAAGACTTGTGACTTAGGCTGTATTTAGGACTGCACAGGTATGTTTATACTTCTCCCCATGTATCCATCTATATGGAATCCTGCTCTTCAACAGAAGTGACACCCATGGTTTCGTCTACGCAGTGAGAGCCACTGACAGCTTCTTGAAGAGCACAGGCATGGGTTTAGGAATCTAGGATTCAACATACATTTTTGAAAAGTCTGGGACTGCACTTCCGTGAAACAGAAAGCAACATTTCCATACATAATGGGTAAGGGATTATATTTATTGCTGCAAATAAATGGTGCCTAATGTGAGTACAGTCCACAGACTACAGCCCAAAACATCTCAGACGAACTGCACTGTCCAAAGGTGTTAAATTTGAACCCTAGCGAAAGTAATTTAAAAATGATCCTTAACTAAGTTTAACCTTACTTAATTACTTTATTACACTGGTATGACCACATGCCACTTACATTGACACAGAAAACTTCAGGATAGCATGAAAAAAACCTGAACATGGCATGATGATAAATAACCAAAATGATAACGTAGTGATTGTTTCAGTCATTTTCAAATTAACTCTGCGATATCCTGTATGTCTTGATTTATCACTGTCTCCAGTCTACTACCTAGTGGGACTATGGGATAAGAATTGTGTCTGGGAAGGTGGCCCAGGTCTGCTGAACTCATGCTAGTTCACGTGCAATGAGCTAGAAATTTCTGCCCCACAATTTCCATCTTATTTTTCCGCTTCGCCATCCCGTGCTCTTCCATTTCCTACAGTTTCATTTCTCCCTTGCCCCGATTCCCATCCCCAGCTCTGTGCTCTCTGTCCTGCTGTCCCCTAGAATCCCTCACATGTACTCATCCAAACAGGACCCCCTTTTCTTCTCTTTTACGTCCTTCTGCAGGGGACCTTCTGGCTTCTTATGTGTGTTGTAGCTCCTAACAGTTTCTGACACTGAATTGTCTTTTCTACATCTTGTCTCTCATTCATTTGTCGTTTCATATTCAGACCACAGGATTCTCAAAGCCACAGAAGCACACTATTTCTACTCTGTAAGTAGTCATGGAAATTTACAGGGCTGTAAAAATATGTTATAATCAATAATCATAATTATATCACATTAGAATTCAAGCCTACAACCTCAGCAGCTACTGTAAGAGAAGTAATTTACAGAGATTACGTGCACTGAACTTTGCTGAAACTTGCTAAGGGGATTAACTTAAAGAATCCCTTATTGGGAATATACTAATTATTTGCTGTGGCTAAGTACTGTCTGGCACATAGTTATTTGGAATTCCTTTGTAAAGCTGAAACACTACGGTATGATCTAAAAGTCAGTCCAGATGAATAGTATGGGATTCAGGTGCCTAAGCATGGGCATCTAATGCCATTTTAGTTGCTCTAGGATATGCTACCCAACTGGCAGCTTCTGCTCCATGTGGGCATGAACATCAGGAATACCTGTGTCCTAAATGACTGCCCTGTGTAGCTGTCTCTCATACCCTGGCACATCTAAAATGACACTGCCCATCTATGTTTAGGCAACCAAGTTTCATGCTTGTACCTTCAGCTCAGAAGCCATGGTCTTTGAATTGAAATGTAAAACTCTAAAACAATTTACCAAAGAATGGCCTTGAACTCAGCTCACATCAAGCTAAAGATCAGGAGGGATGATTCCTTTGATATTGGCTTTGCAGTCAGTTTGCAATCCCTTTACCCTTGGAAGTGTAAAATTACAGAGGAAAAATAGAATGGAAGTGAGTTAAAGGTTATAAATACCTGGTGTCAGGAGTATAACAGAGGTGACAATCAGGGAGCAGATAACGAGAATAACAAGTAAGGCAATTGCAATTCCTTTCCAGTTTCTTTGTGGAGGATTACTCCCCACCAGCTCCTAGAAACATCAAAGGAAAGTGAACATTTAGAAAAAGCACTTAGACAAGAAAAGAAACAGCAGAATCCAAACAGCAACATATTTCAGCAGAACTACCTGCGACCTTGGTGGGTGCAGCCCGTAAGCCTAATACAATCCATGCCATTATAACATGTTGCAGCATTAATTGAGTTCATTCCAAGCCAGATTATACAATGAATAAATGCAATCCACCCATAGGATGCTCGGTAGTGTAAGCCACACTCCCCACCGTCTCCTTGCACAAAGGCACCAGTCACCCACACCAGCACTCATCCAAACTCACTTATCAAAGGCAATTTCCTACCAAGCCTCATTAAGTCTGGAAATAAAGAGCTCTACAGAAACCTTCAAGAGACTTTTATAATCAGATGTCAGAGAGGAATACAGGAAGATAAATAATTCACAGGAGCATATATGGACACAAAAATCAATAAGGATATCCCCACGGTGAACTTCTCTGCCTTCCCAGAAAACATCACATCTCCTCAGGCCGTCTTGCACGCTTTCCTAGGCTGGTAGGTCTAAGCACATGAAGACAGGCTTCTAGTATATGCATTAAATTTAATCACATCCTTAAAACTTTAGAATAAAAGCTCCATCACTATTCACTGATTAGTTTTGACTTCATCGCAGTTGTACCATATGTTCTGTCTATGATGTGTACAGCACCTCTGCTCTCAAGGCTGAGGTTTTTATGAAGTGCTGTGTTCACATTCACAGGATCTTAAATATTTATTGTGCTTTATCCTTTTCATGTCTTTTGCTGGATTCCCCTTAGCACTGTGCATTAAGTGTGATTTCATCCACGCATTGAAGCATCCCCAGGAACTGGATGAAATATCAGAGCACTCCACTTTCCTGGAAGGCTGAATTCACTCAAGGGATCTGGCCTCACAGCCAGAACAACTCTGCATGCTCCTGCTCCTTGACTACCTCACCAATTTAGCATTTTTGCCTCATTTCCTTTACTATGAGGGATGGTGGGTCTAAGACAGACTTGCTGGTACTTCTTTAACAGATTCTTCTTTTATCCTTTTTTCTTTTTTTCAGGAAAACAAAAAGCTTTATAACAGACTAAGTACTTCTGTAATTCAGAAAGTTTGTTTCACCTGCTGTAAATTTTTCTTACACACAGCAATATGACCTGAACAGGGAGGTCAGGCAAACCTCACAGTTTTGATTTCGGAAAACTCTGAAAAATATTTTTCAAATTTTTCCATACCATGAATCCATTTCACAGAAAAAGATAATGCTGAGACTCTCTTCATGTATGTTTGGGGACCTATCCATTACAAAGGCTATAAATCTGCAATGGAAAGCCATGTTCGAGGCATTAAACAGCTGAGGTAGCATCTGCATTCAATTATTTATTATAATTCTAGAAGAGACAGGGTGGTTCTCTTTCTCCTGGCAAAGAGGGGCAGGGGTTAGCACCCCCTCCCCTCCTCATCTTCCGCTCATTTGCACTTGGCTTTCTATTCGAAATGAAAAATAATTACAAGGAACAAATTTATAGTTTATTATTCTTACTGGAGCAAATTCTGAAAAGTAGGTCAGGAGCCTTGAGAAATGTAATTTTACCAACAAGCAAACAGAAAGAATATAAATACTTGGAAATTTATAGTGTCTTCACCCTAAGCACAAACACAAATTTTAATTAATTTAGTGTTCTAACACCGTTTTAGGAAACTGTTATGGAGTCCGTCTTTCAGGTGATGCAAACAGGCTCAGAAGACAGTCTGTGACTTTCCCAGGGTCACATTTGAATCGAGAAATAAAGCCCAGAAAAGAACCCAGGTCTTGTTAGTATGTGGGAGAAATATTCTTCCTTTCATAGCAGGGCACAGTGGGACCAAGAGGGATGATAGGAGAACTGAGAAGAAGCAGCTGAGAAACCACAGTGCTTCCACCCAGCCAAGCCTTGAAAGCACCAGAAGGCCAGAGGTAAGATGCAGGCAGCACTGAAGGACAGATGGCAACAGTCACATTCCTGAAAATATTCTAACAACCCTCTCTCCCCTGACTGGTCAGGAGTTTTATATTGAAAAAAACAGCTCAAAGACTTGAATTAGATCTACAAATTCAGATGTTGTTCAAAAGCTTAATAAAACCCCGCCTTAAGTGAGGTATCCCCATCCATGGGTCCCAGTGTGATAGAAATCCACACATGTACTTCAACTTTCAGGATATCAATATTTCCACTGAATCCATTATCACATCATAACCTCATTAATTCTTCAGTCATCCAATCAATGCTTAAGCAAAATCACTACAAAAAAGACTGGGAATTTCTAGTGTATCAACAAGAGGAAAACTATTCATAAACAAAACTTTGGGGTTTAATATACTGCAAGGAAGCAGAAAGGAATGGTTTTACTTTATTTTCATAATCCCATCAGGAAATTTTCCCTGATAAAAAGCAAGAAGAGATAAACAACATTTCAAAGAAAGGTAAACAGCTTTATTCAGCGCAAGTTTGTAAAGCAGCTTTTTTGTTCTTCTCGGTCATTTGAAGTCTCTTTCAGTGAAATCACTTACAGTAAATCTGCTGCACACACATCGTACCATATACATGCTAGCACCAATGTCTTAGATCTTTCCTATTCATATTTCTGTCAGTTCCAGAGGGATGTTGCTGTGTCACTGTGACCAGCTTTTACTTCCAGGAGATTACAGCCTCACCACTGGTCAATGATACCCCATGACCTGGGCAGCAAACTCACACCCTGCAACAGAAATTCCCACAAGTGGACATCAGCTTCCTATTCACATTGCTCAGGAAAGTCTTTCTGCTTGGAACCAAAGCCAGGAAGGTGTTTAATTAAGCCCTAGGCAGGTACAGATTCAAGCTCATAAAGAATGTTCTTGAGGTGGCACCACAAAGGGTTTGTTTTCAATGCACAGCACAAAGTTATAATTCACCCGTTCTTGAAAGATCTCAGCTTGCAGATGTAAACACAGAGATCTAGACCCAGCAGCAAGCAGATACCTTTCGTGAACCGTGGATGTTAATCCTAAAGATACCACTTTCTTTTCAATACTGAAATCTGAGCATATTACCCAAATGGAAATAAACCAAGTATGCGCAATTTCTGCTCTGACAAAATGGTTCTACTAAAAAGAGTGTAAAAGGAAACATTAAAACAAAGTCACTCATGGGTAGGAGTCACCCGCTCTCTTCTTCTCATGAAGAACTAACACAATGCCTGCATGACTTCTGCAAGCAAGCTGAAGCCCTTCAGTCTGTTTTTTTTCTCCTTTTTTTCCTTTGCTGTTTGTTTTCCACCCCATTCTCTCTCTTTCATAAAACCTTAATTGTTTTTGGATTAGAAAGTAAGGCAGATGTTACCACAGGTTTTAACATAAGCACACTTCATTGATGCTGCATATTAAAAACTGTAAATGTTATCACTTTCATCTTCATTTACGATTGAAAAATAACGCTACCCACCTGTGAAGTTGACTTTGAAGCCGTAAATTCAGATATCTACATTATTTCAAGACTCTAAAATACAGACCTGTGATGACATATTTTCCTGCCTGTGAAAGGATCACTGTACTGACATGTTATGGATGAAGGCTGGATGTGCTCCAATCCAAGGTGCTGTCAACGAAAGTATTTCTGGTGTGTTTATTTGAAACTTGCCAAAAGTCTGCCAGCACCATGGCCATATTACAATAATATCTTCTTAAAATAAAAACTCTGCAAGCACAACTTTTTTTTTTTTTAAATAGCCATGTCTATATTGCTAAATGAAAGAAGGACAATATCAACATCACTCGTCAAGTATTGGTGTATTTAATAAAAGCTATACATCCTGGATGAAAATCTCTGAAGGTTCAACTGAGGGATGGTCATTGTGGGCCTTGCAGTTCTTTTCAACCTGGAGCTGCCACTTCTGTGCAATAACAATGAAACCTAGGTGTGTTGTACCGGAATATATATATTCCAGACATGTGCTGCTCATGAGGGCCCTTGCTGAAGCAGATGACACTGGGCCACAGCTGCAGACAGGAGACTGAACTCTGTTACATCAGTGTAAATCAGAAAGAAAAGGAGAAAGAAAAAAAAAAAACCCAAGAAATGAAACATGAAATAAAAGCAGGTGCAAGATATTTTATTGGCTTCAGAGATGGCAGGATGAGAATTATAGTAGTAGTTTTGTATGTTTTCCGTACCTGCCATTCTTGCAAGCTCTGCATCTTCCTTTTTTTGATTTGCTTCTAAATTTGAGCTAAATAACCTGAAATAATACTCATAAACAAAGTAAATGAAAACTCTTCTAGCAAGCTTGTCAACACACAGTTAATTGAGGAATATGTATTCTACCTTCAACTCACATTACCTTGTTCTAAATTAAAACTTTTGCCTGATGGCGTAACACAGTGAGTGCAACTTCTCAGGAAACTCAGCTTACCAGTGTGAGAACATGGCCCAGAATAAAATCTTTGCTGAGGAATTACAGTATGGGAACTTTGTATGGGAGCAAAAACTCCTACGTTGTTCAGTGGAAAAATAATCTTGCTGTTAATTAGTTCTCTATAATACAAAATAGCTGCAAATTAGTACTAAACTGTACAACAAATCACATGAAGAGTGGGTAACCCAGACGGTCAAATTATTAACCTTGTGTTACAAAAAAGCGATATTAATTGCCAAGATAATGGCAGTAAACCAGATACATTGCTGTGGTTACAGCAGGATGTTTGCTGAGGCCACTGGTTATATTGTTGATCGATACTGCCTTACTGTGTCATCACATTCCTCCGCCTGTCTGGATCCTCTGCCGTTCTCCTGCCTTTAATTTAGGATGGAGTTTCTTCATGGGCAGGAATCATTTTTGGTATCCTGCCTGGCACAGTGGAAACCTCAATCACTAGAGAACTTAGGCAGTATCATAACACAGATAAACAAAATAAGCATGTAACTGCGTCCTTCTCATTTCTGAATTCAAGCTGAGTTACGTACGTTTGGGGTTTTTTATTTATTTCTTTTCCTTCTCCTTCCCACTTGCCTCCCTCCCTGCCTGCCGCTGCAGACACCCCTGGGCTGTGCTCCAGCTGAGGTGTGATGCTGAATAGCAATCGGTTTGCAGATGCTCGGAGAGCCTGAGGCTACAGTAAACTCACTTGTTCAGATACTAAAGGTGACACTTTAGAGTGAGAGGAATAAAAACTTGGTCTGTTTCTACAAATGAGGCATGGCATGTCTGTGGAGTTTCCTGCAAAACCCCAGCAGAAAGATTCAGAGGGTGATGAAAGACAACTGCGTTATGTTATTCTTCATCTTCTGTTGATAATAAAATGCTTTTACTAACAGGGAGCAACGACTTAACAACAGTTAACGTCTTTGCTGTCTACTCCCCAGCACCATGAGAAAAATCTTTCACCCCGCACACAATGCAACACACCATCCTGCCCTGCATTTCTGGGAGGCTCTTTTCTGAATGCCCTATAGCTGCTCCTTTTGGTCCTGTCGCTCCATCTCCTCTCACGATCTTCTGCAAAGTGCACACGCGGAAATGCTTTGAGGTTGGGCATTAATGGAGTGCTTGAGAGCGAGCGATGAAAAGGCTGTATGCGTAGCACCCAGCCCCTTGTAAAAGTAAACCTTGCATGTTTTAGGCATTGATAGAGCCTTCAGTCTTACACGTTTCTATCACAAAGCCAACAGGAGAAAATGAATGCCATCTGCACCTTAAACCTAACTGCTAGCTTTAGCAGATGATGGGTCTTCCACAGTTTTAGAGCAGAAGGCACCAGATCCTCAGCTAGCATTGACTGACACGTATCATTGGCTCCACTGGAGCAAAGCCAGTCTGTGTCAGCTACTAATGAAACCCAGTGCTACCTCTAAATTTATAAAAAATCTGTAAAAAAATCTAAATACAGTAATATCTGGGATTCCTAGCTGTACTTTATTGCAGAAATGGATATTTAATATCTTCCCATCATTTTTATAAGCATTATGATGAGACAGTTTTGGATCCCCCCGAGACCTAGCAGCTCTCAAAGATTAATTTAGCATCTCTGTATTTTGAACTGGCATCTCACATGACTTCCGTACCCAATTATAGTAACCACACTGCAACATCCTTCTATGCCCTCACAACGTATAAATAAGCAGTGTTGCCGTTTGAAGCATTCCCACATTATTCCTAGTGCTTAGGGACAAAGTGACTATATGGAATTTCCAAAACAAATTAGAAGTTGGGAATATGGACTCTGAAATCCTGTCAGAAGACCATTCTCAAGGTGACAAAATTTCAAGCTGCTAAAACCAGCTGGACCTGTTGCACTAAGAATGGCTCCCGCCAAGGACATGGCCATCATCTGACTTACGGCCAGGAGAAAGGAGATGGTAATGATGTTGTACATGTGTACAACGTGACATATGTGATTAGAGACACTTTTAGCCAAGAACAGTGATGATCTTGATTTAATGTCATCTTATTAATTGTTTTCTCTTTTGCACCATCAGTTTGGTTCATTTAACTGCTGTAACCCAGGTGTTTTTATAGCACCTGGTGCAGGGGGACTGCGAATCCTCGCAGAGGCCCTTAGCTGCTACTGTAATTCAAGTAATAATTAAAGATTCATTCCCAGTAGTGACACAGCCCATAAAATCAACAGCATTTCTTTGATTTTATTTCAGTGTTTGATATAGGCACACATATTCATCCACTAAAACAGAACTAAATCATTTCCTTGGGTGAAATATCTGCATTCGCACCAGTAAAACCTCGTTTGACACTTAGAATTTTATTCCATAAGATTCTGTGTTATCATCAGATCCATGAAAAGGTTTGGCAAGCCCAAAGGCCACAGATTAAATCACTGATCCCAGTATGACTGTATGCCACAACACTTGCTTAGCTCCAGTTTTTCCATGATAATGCTCTGACAGCTTGGCTCCCTCCAAACCAAGACACAATACACACAAGCCTTGAAACAGTCCATATGCATGCAGAAAGCATCTACAAAAAGTGATGTTGCCAAGGCATGCCACGATGACATCTCTCTATTTCTTGAAGAGTTCTGGTCTCAAGAAATGGGAAAAGAAGCTTCTCTGCCAGATTTGAGAGCCTGGAGAAACCACCTCTTAGCTTTGTCATGTCCCCTAATTCCAACAAAATGCCATTCTGCTTACATTTGTAAAAAGACAATTGCAATTTTTAATGAAACTATATTTCAGAAAAAAAGAAAATATCATTCAATTTATGACTCTCAACACCAAGGAAGAATTTGTGAAAAGGAAAGTAGTGAAGTGTTTAATCTCCCTGGGTAGAAAGACTGTATTAGAAATTCTGTTTAATATTATATTTTATCAACTCTTAGACTTTTTTTTTCTGTAATCTAGTTTGTAAATAATTTGTTTCTAAATGGTACAGGAAGGAAAATACAAGTTGAACAAAATTTAATTCCTAAATAATTTGTTTGGGAACAACGTGAGAAACAGCCATGAAGACAGCCAAGTTTTGAGGTCACCATACTGCAGAGACAGTGGGAAGAGCAACACGAAAATGATGTGTACAGCAGGGGGGAAGAAAACGGGCTTATCAATTTCATTTTGCACTCTCCTGAGGTGTCCATCAAACTCAGGATGCAGAAATTGTGCTGTGTGCTAAGAAAGTAAAAATTACCCTGCCAGGGTACTTGCAAACACTTCCGTGATACAGTAATTATTATATGAATTCAAGTGTGAATTAAAGCCACTGGGGGCTAGGGGAGGGTTGCTCCTCCGCTAGTCGACATATGTAACTCTCATTAACACGCAGCAAAGCTTCATGCACATACCTGGAAAGAAGAAAACAGGAAGAAAGAGAAGCACCTTCAGTACAACCTACCATGCTAACCACCACCTATCATTACTATCTGAAATTCTTCAGCTGATTTTTGTTCAAAACAGGTTTCTCTCCTCGTCACTTCTTACAGGATAATGGGATTTCAGATGATGTCCCTGGCTGGTGTGAGGGCTGCAGGGTGATGGCTCCTGAAGGTCCCATGGCCATGGGAGCAGTAGGGTCAGAGACAGGATTGACGCCTCAGTCCTGGGGTTACTTGGCGAGGAGAGGTACACAGACAGACCAAGGTGGAAAAGGATGGCTTGGGGTGGCACTGCAGGGGGGAGGAGGATGCAGTGACAATTCAGAGCTTCTTCGGGGGAGAGAACATTTGATCAGATCTCATAATAATGGCATTTCAAAAATGGTGCAAATTACCTGAACCTGCCAGGTGAGACATAACACATAATGGTTCTACTTACCGAACAAAGAAAAATGTCCAAACTAACCAGCATGTGATGATAAAATCTGTTTTGTTGGCTCACTAAAAGACTCTCTGAATCTAGGTCTTCACTAAGAACTTCTACAAACTCTTTTTATCAATAAAAATCACATATTCCTGTCCTCTGTGGTACTCAAGCAGTGTGGTCTTTACATACAAATTGACTTCAGCAGCACAAAAAAAAATCCCTCAAATAAGCCATTAGGAGCACAGGAGAGAGAAAAGTTCCTCCTGATTTCAAGCCAGAACCCACCCTACATTTCTAGTAGCATGTCTGAGTCCTTTAACCTATTCCACATATCATAAATTAATCAGATTATGTTGCTGGATTTCTCAAGCGCCTAAGTATCCTACTAAGATCAAGTATAGTGTAGAAGTTGTGTAAAATGCAAACTCCAGAGTTATTCTGGATGCTAAAATTCACAAATAATTGTACATCTTTTACACAACTTTTATTTCAAGCATGAGTCATTTGCTGTTTTGAAAAGCACGTATTGTTTGTGATACAGATGTTTCAAAGACAACACAATTGCATTATTCATCACTCTAGCAATATTTATATTAAGATGCTACTTGCAGAATAATTTTACTTTTAAAAGAATTTTAACTTTCTGTTGTTTCCAGGATGAAAGGCCAAAACTCTCAAGTCATATTTGATGTGTGGGTCTCTAATGCAGTGTTTCCATCTGCAGTATGCAGCCAAGATTTTAATGGAAAACTATAGAAGGAATATTCTTCTCAGATACAAATTTTAACAAATGTCAAGCAATGGAAAAACAATGTGTGAGTGTGGGCCTGTATTTTACACAATGGTTTTAAATGAAAATACATGAGCAATTCTTGGAGTAGGACACAGAATGAAGGCTTTTCTCTTGCAGCTAAGTCCCCTTCTCCCCAGCCTATACAGCCAAGATATTTCTTCTTAGTCTCTCTCCCATTCTTCTCCTGAATATTCCATTCCTGGTTTTTGTAGGTAAATAGGAAAATAAAGCAAACCAAAATCTGTTCTCTTGTCCCAAGGGCAATCGGCATAGCACACTTCTCATCCACAACAGCCAAACCCTCTTACACTGCAGCACAGCATGACTGCATCACAACTTCTTTACCAAAACTGTCCCTGTCCCACTCTGAAGCCCAGGTTTTCTGCGGCAGTCCTGGGACAGTCCTGCTAACCATGGGCCAAAACCATACCTGGGAGCAGGCTAACAAACCACACCAGTGATCACTTTATGCCTGGTCCCCGGCACCCCGCCAGGTTACTTCACTATATAAAAGCATCCCTAAACTCCTCCTGAATCGCAAATCCTAAATCTAAGCCAAAACCCCCAATGAACTCCCAGTTCTGTAATGCTTACTCATGAGGAAAATCATTTGAGCACATACCACTACTCACACTGAAGTAAGGTACAAGAGACACAACAGGATGGCTGCCTTTTCAATTTTTATAGTGTTAATTATCTTTCTGGCTAGCAGCAACCTGCGCATGAGCATTGCTTTGATGATGTGACAGGGAGCAGAGCCCACAAGCTATGAGACTGTCCTCAGAATAGCTGGGAGACACCTCAGTTGTCCTAATGGGATTTGCTTGGGTTTTTCTCAGCCGTTCGTGAACCAGAAACAACTTCACGAATATCCTGATTTGATGTTCATGAAGTTTAAAAAACCCAGTCTTAATTCTCTGTGGTCTTTAGCCAGCTCTAGCTTAGGAAAACTGTAGTTTGAAGAATTACAGCTCTTCGAAGGGTACTGGGCGTGAGACGCCAGCCAACTCCAAAGGTTTACGAGTCTTACGCTCGGTCTGTTTTAATTGATTTCTATTTTTACTGGGGTTCTCACAACACATTACAAAGAGCTTTGCAAAGTCATTTATTTTCATTTTCCAAACTTCCTGGGTGGCAGTAAACACAACGAACAAACACTAAGTCATCTTTCCTGGGGAAAGCAAGATGCTCACTTTCTTTCCATACTGAGCTGCGTTAACTGTGGCACAACACCACAGGAGCATGACCCCTTGTATCAAAAGAACACTTTTCTTGCTCATTTTTTGTTTGAAAGAAATATCCTTAATTCATGAAAATCTGAGACTCAATAAGTGAGCTACAGAATGAAAATGATACATCCACGTTCCCGTTCAAAAAAAAAAAAAGCAAAACTGGCTGGCACACAAATTGCGATTTTTTTCTCGCAGATCTGTTTCACAAGGGTCACTGCCACCCAGCAGTAAAGCCACTGCGTTATCATGATCATTTTTAATCTCCTTGCACTATTCATGTTAGCGTCTTAACAGCACTGACAAAAGCACCTCTTCTCCTGAACAGTGCTGCTGGTTTATCTGCCTGCTTTTCACTGGCTTCAAGCTGTAAAGTTTCTGCTGCAATCTAAATGCTCCCTTTAATTTTGTGACTCTCTCACTTCTGACGTCAAAAGTGAGAGAGCATGGGTTAGAAAGGTTTCCTTTATATTTGAAACTGAAGTTAAATGTAGGAATATCATATTGATTTAAACATGCTGTAGGATTTGAAAAGAGAAAAGTCACCCATGCAGGCACAATGACTTGTGTGTGGCAGTTTCATTGCATCCCATGAAAAAATACTCTAGAGTTGGGAAGGAAAAAGGCAAGCGTCCGAGATAGGAGTTTCTTCTTCACACCTCACCAATCTGTTGTTCTCTTGAGAAGCAGGGTTTGGCTTCTGAAATTAAGAGGCCTTAACAGACCCAGCAGGGAGAATAAGCCATCTCAACATCTCCCTGCGTTCAGCAGAGCTTCAGATCAACTCCTGGTCTAAACACACCTAAAAAGGTCCTCTGTCTTCATCTCCCTGTCGACCTCACTCACTTTGCAAGACTTCAAGACATCCGGAACTCATGTGATGCTTCAAAAAACCTTCCTATATAGACTTCCCTACCAAGTACCCTGTCTAGACATCTCATGTGGTGCTGCAATCACCACATTGCACCATGCCCAGGCCAATGTCCTCAGAGGTGTTTAGATTCTTAATTCCCTGTGGAAACACTCCTGAGGATGTGGGCTTTGGTGCCTCTCTTCTCCCTATCTAAATTCATAGAATCATAGAATCTTTGAATCATAAGAT